AAAGAGGACGCCCAACACTGCCCGCTCGGGAGGTGCCGGCCAGTTGTCCTGGCGTCAACTGGCGGGCGGGCGGGCGGCCAGGGGCACTCCCAGGTGTGTGTCAGGCTAGGATGGACAGATGGGTGGGTGGGCAGATGGACGGATGGATGGGAGTGCTGCCTCTCCCAAATGGGGAGCTTGGAGTCAGGAGCAGGCAGGCGAGAGAGGTGGCGATCCTGGACTGGGGCTGCGGGGAAGGGCAGGCTGCAGAGCCAGGCAGAGGCGCACATCTCGGCCACTGAGGTGCAGGCTGGCAGGGTGTGTCAGAGGAGCCCAAGAAGGAGTGCTGGGGGGAGCAGTTCTTGTGCGTGCTGCCAGGGGCTGGTTAGGTCATGTCCTGCAGGGAGGGTGGGAGCCAGCAAAACGGGGGAGGGTCAGGGAGTGCATGCTGACGGCAGGCCCTGGGCAGGGCTCTTCCCCGGGCTCCCGGCCGCTGCCCATCCCAGGGGGACCCTTGAGGCCAGGGTGCCAGGCCAGGCGGGGTGGAACCAGGCCACCTCCAGGACAGGGCGCTGAGCCTCCTGGCCCCTAGTTCGTACCTGCAGATGGGAACGCAGCCTGCGTGAAGGTGCTCCGGGACATCGAGCCAGGGGACGAGGTGACCTGCTTCTACGGCGAAGGCTTCTTCGGTGAAAAGAATGAGCACTGTGAATGCTACACCTGCGAGAGGTGGGGATGGCCTGCAGGAAGGAACAGGGTCCCTGGGATCCTGGGAACCAGAAGGGCATCCTCAGGGCCCGCCCCTCCCTCCCTCCTCATTTCCCTCCCTTCCTCAGGAGAGGCGAAGGAGCTTTCCGACTGCAGCCCAAGGAGCCCCTGCCACCCCGGCCCCTGGACAAGTATGAGCTCCGGGAGACAAAGCGGCGGCTGCAGCAGGGCCTAGATGGCCCCCGGGCCTGTGCCCACCCACCCCCGCTGCGCCGGGACCTGTTCTGCGGTGAGCGTGGGGCGGGGACCCTGTCCTGTTGGCCTGTCTTCATCAGCTGCTCCCTCAGCCCCAGCCCCTTCTCTGCCCTCCTCTCGTCTTGACCCTCCTGGTACCCCCACTCGGTCCCTCAGACAGGGCCTCACTCCTGAACATCCCTCTCTTCATCTGTCCCCCTCTGAAGAGCATCGGGAGTGGGGGGCGGGGGGGCGGCGGGGGGCACGAACCCGCGTCCCCTGCATCGGCAGGGGGGGGGGGGGGCGGCGGGGCGGCGGCTGGCCTGAGCAGGAGCTCTTCCCCTCTGAAGAGGCCCTGCTCACACAGCTGCCCTTTTCTCTCCCCACTCCCCCTCCCTTGGGCCTCCACAGCTGCCTGCCAGCCCCTGCGCCCCCCGCCCTGCGGCGCCCGCCCCGATGCCTCACCCCTCTGGCTCCAGTGGCTGCCTCAGCCCCGGCTCCGGGTGCGCCCCCGGAGGCGCCGACGCCCCCAGCCCCGGCGGGCCCCGGCGCCCCCCGTTCTCCGTGCTGCCCGCGTCTCCCTGCACCGATGGGGAGGCTGTGGCCCCCACTGCTGCCTGCAGGCGGAGGCCCTGGTGGCTCTGGGGCCGGCCTCCCGTGCCCGCTGGGCCCCCCAGCAGGACTGGCACTGGGCCCGGCGCTACGGGCTGCCTTACGTGGTACGTGTGGATCTGAGCCGTGTGGCCCCGGCCCCGCCTGCCACTGCCACTCCCGTCCCCACTGGGACCCCCGGCCCCATCCCCATCCCCAAGCAGGCCCTTGCCTTTGCCCCCTTCTCCCCACCCAAGCGCCTGCGGCTGGTGGTCAGCCATGGCTCCATTGACCTGGATGTCAACGGTGATGGGCCGTGACGGGCTGGACAGGGAGGCCCAGGCTGGGAGAGGAGGGCGTCCCTCCTGGTCCCCTCTGCCCTGAGTTCTCAGTAACCGACTTTTCAGAAGGAGCTCTTGGACCTCTGGGAGGGCGTTGACTTTCAACCCCAGCACAGCTCTGACCCCCAGGGCAGGTTGGTTTGGACACCACCGGGGATCTGACCCCTGACCCTTCGTGACTGCTGACCCCTGAGCCACCCCCATCCTAGCAGGGAGCCCTGGCCATTGCCGCCCTCCCACCCCAGCCCCAGCCTCAGGGCTGAAGGAGCTGTCCCCTCCCCACCCGCCTTCTCCTGCCCAGGGAGCAAAGCCATAAGGGGTGGGGGCCGCCCCGTGGCTTCTCCAAAGAAGCCCAGGCCTCGGGAGGAGGTGGAACTGACATGGGCTGGCGCTCCCTAGACACTGCCCTACAGAGGGGAGTCAGTGTGCTCTCGGCTCTGTGTCTGAGGTGGGGGGCGACAAAGGGGGCGGCCATGGGCACGTCCCCACCACCCCCGTGGGTCTCAGGGAGGCCGGTGCGACCTCATCTTTCTCATGGTGCTATCCCTGGTGCTACTGGGCTGTGGGGGCTCCCTCCCCTCCCCCACGCCAGAATGGGGTATGTTGGGGGATTGGAAGCACTTGAACTTTCTATTTTATTTTATTAAAACCTTGTCATAAGCAGTGCCCTGGGAAGCATTTCATCTTGATTTACATTTTGAAGTGATGTCTGTTGGGAGGGTGAGACCCTCCGCCTTGCTGGGGAGACCAGACCGGGAGGAAGCAGCCCAGACTTCGGGCCCTGAAAGCTTTGGAAGGGTGGAAGGGCAGTGGGCTCTGAGGATGGCTGAGTACAGAGGCGCAAACTGTGCTCATAAAGAATGCTTTCAGTCCCATCTTCTCACCCAGGTGGGGAGTCTCCCTATTTTTCGGATGAGATTAGTGAGGTCCAGCAATTAGAGTGACTTGTCCCCGGTCACCTGGGGCCAGATCACCCTTGTCTGAAGTCAGAGCCCCTCCCAGACCTCACGTGTGTCATCTCGGTTGGCCTGGCTCTGTGAGGCCAGGACAGTGAATCTTCTTCTTTCTTCTGATCCAGTTCAGTTCTCAGTTCTCCAACCAGGGATTCAACCCGGGCCACAGCAGTGAAAGCCCAGAATCCTAACTACTAGGCCACCAGGGAACTCCCCCCATCGTCTCTTAATTCTCACCTCAACCCCCATTCTACAGAAGGAAATACTAACAGCTTACAATCAGTGAGTGCTTCCTGGTACCAGGCACCCGCTGCAAAGCGTCTTGTGGATATGTTGTTTTTGTTCATTGAGGCCTCACAGCCATTTCATGAGGACAAGCCAGGAGTGTCTGAGGGTCGTGTGTGGGCTGCAGGCCCCAGTTTATCTCCTCCATGTCGACCGGCCTTGGAAAAGTACCCTGGAGGCTGATGAGGCCAGGCCATATGCATGAGGGACATGGGGTGCTGAGAAGAGGGGGTGAACTCACATGGAGAGGCTGCAGGAAGACTTGGGTGGGCCAAGGAGATGGCCCAGGAAGGGGCACTTCCACAGTGGACCTGGAGGTGGGGATGGGGACAGTTCAAAGCAGGTAACTTTTTTTTTTTACTTTAAAATTCGTATTATTTATGTATAGCCTGCTTCATCCCTTTCAGAATGAGAAAATGTGTCTTTCTTCCATGCAAATCCTACTGAACCCTCTTAGTTTTCTCCCTCAGGTTAAAAATGAGGGAGAGGGCCTCCCAGTCAGCAAGTGGTAACGAAGAGAATGAAGAGATGGTTGACACAGTCGCTAAAGAACTTGTCCCTCTAGAGAAGCAGAAATTCATGGCTTCTCGGCAAATATGACAGCAGAGTAAGGAGGCTTAGCCTGGATGGACGTTGGAGGTGCCGAGAACCTCCTGGAATCCTATTTCAAATGTAGTAACTGCATATTCACAGGCGTGTCCTTGGTGCAGAGGGTTTAGAGCCTTCATCCAACTCTCAAAAATGTCTGGAACCCAAAACACGAAGATTAGAAACCAGTGATCGGGGTCTCTCACCCTCAACACTGCTGCTGTCTTGAGCTGCTAATCCTGTGTCACAGGACGAGGAGTGGCCTCTCAGGCCTCCACCCACGAGTTGCCAGTAGCATCCCCTTCGTGGTGACAGAAATATCTGTGATCATTGCCAAATGTACCCCTAGAGGTCAAAGCCAGCCCCCAGTGGGAACCACTGGGCTAGAGTGACAGGATGACGGGGAAGGAAGACCTCCAGGACAATAACTACAGCTGACACTGGTCACAGGTCCTGTGCATCTGGCATCAACCTTCACAGCAGTGCTACCAAGATCACCCCCCTGCCTTTGCAGGTAGTCGGGAGGGCAGGCACGTCTGCCTGAGGCCGCACAGCTGGTATGTGGACAGAGCCCGCCTTGCTGCCAGGTTTCTGTCTCAACCACCAGGTAGATGGAGCCCCAACCACGACAGGGAAGCGAGAGGAGTGTGTGTTGGGTCCAGTGAGCTGGTGGGCCCTGGGATGTTTGGATGGAGCTGGGGCTTGGGAACCCCAGAGGGAGGGTCAGAGGATCAAGGCTCAAGCTGAGAACCCCGTCACACACATGGGGGCCAGAGCAAGGAAATGGGGAATCTGGCTGGGGGAGGAGGAGGAGGGAGTTGAAAGAAACAGGAAATAATTACAGGCCACAGTCTCAGGAAGCACCGCACTCTGCAGTGCCTTCCCCAAAGCTTTCTAAGTTCCCCTCCTTGGGTTACTGGGACAGCTGGGAGCCAGGCAGGACATCCCAATCCTGGATCCCATTTCTCCCCTTGGGGGAGCTCTCTGATGCTTTTATCCTATGCATGGGGCTGACCAGATGCCTGCAGGAGCTCCAGGGCCCTGTTGATGGTGTTGGTCATCCTGGGGTTGCCGATCCAGGAGGGCAGCTGACGATCAGTCACCCCCACCTCCAACATAATATTGGGCACCAGAATCGGGCCGACATGAGGACTCTAAGTGCCTCAAATTATTTACATAGACAGAGAACCCACACACCCTGAGGACAGCTGCACTGGACACTGTCCTGGCTTGTGACACAGCATCACCCTCCCCACGGCCCTGTGAAGTCTAGGTATTGTTATCCCTGTATTTTAGGTGAGAAGGCCACAGTGCAGAGGGCTTAGGAAGTTTGTCTGGGGCCACAAGGCTGGCAAGCTTCAGGCAGGACTTGAACCCATTCTCAGAGCTCAACCAAGCTCTGAGATCCTTGGGATGGGAAGGAGGCAGACACCAGAGGGGAGGCTGGGGCCGTGCCCACTGGAGACTCAGGGCTTGTTTCAGCAGTGGCTTCCATGGGATGGGGGAGTGGGTGGAGACGAGGGCCAGAGCAGTGCCTGGAGGGTTCATGGAGCAACGGGTGAAGGGCACCGAGTGGTTTTGTGATTTTGACCGGGAAGCACCTGACCCTTTCAGTAGACTGGGAGGAAGGAGCTGCAGAGGGAGGGGAAGACGGTAAGTGTGCGGTTGATGGGCTGGGGCTGGGAGGGGGTAGCAGGGATGCAGGTTGTGAGCAGGGATGGGGAAGTCAGTTTCCTTTGTCCCGGGAGGCTGTTTCGGGACAGTGAGCTTGACATTGGGGGTTTCAGGATGTGGGTGGGCGAAGATGGCCCAGGAGCCTAGGAAGAGGTGTTCAGAGCCAGAGTTTGGGGCCTGAGAGTGTTGGCCCAGCCAGCTGGAGGTGAAGTGGGTCTGGCCCTGCCCTGGGTTCAGGCATCCATGGGGCAGTGGTGGCCAGAAGGGAAGCCAGGAGTGTAAGAATGTCCCAGGAGTGGTCAAGGGATGGTGGCAGGGATCCTGGCCCCAGAGGGAAAGAAGGGGGAACTGGGAGGGGCTGCTGGCCCACAGGGCGAAAACACACTGCCAGCGCTGGCGCTCTGGTGAGGTCAGGAGGCTGGCTGTGGCTGCACAGGTGTCAGGCCCTGTGCTTGGATGCTACCTGGATGACCTCACCAAGTGCTCAGACAGCCGCCAGCCCCATTCATTCGGTGACTCAGAGCTGCCTGGCCTGCGTGGCATCACGGCTTTCCTTCTCTCCTGCAGCAGCGCCACCTCTGTGCAGGCCAGAGGTCTGCAGGTCGGGGGAGGTCACACGAACGACTCACCCCCTCCTGTAGCTTCCAGCCTGTCTGAGTCCACACCCCATGCCCTCATTTGCCCCTCTGCCTCTCAGGTTGTGGTCTGAGAGAGGGGGCCCGGGGCCAAGGTTTCGGGTGGAGCCATCCTGGGAGATGGCAAATCTGGGGTGTGCCCTGGGTAGGGGGATGAGGGCAGCATAGAGGGGGTGAGGGGAGTGGGTGGAGCCAGTTCTCCCCTGAGCTTACCCAGCCCCTCCCATCATTCCACCCCTCCTGATAACGGGATTTTGCACCATCTCTGTTGACAGCTGGGGAAACTGAGGTGACGCAAGTCAGGAGGTTTGTCCAGGGCCACCCAGTAAGTTGTCGTATGATTAGTAATAGCCACCTTTGAACCCTGGGGTTGAATGGAGACCTCATGAGATCACTTCAGGCAGAGTCTGGGGGTCCAGGCTGCCCCAGGAGACTGACAGCTTCAGGCAGAAAGTCAAATCCACCGCCACCCCAATGCCCAGGACGCATGCCCATCTAGGTCAGGCTAGAAGCCCCAGGCTCCGAGCTCTGTCAAGGGTCACTCCTCAGCCTGGCTCGGGGTGGGGGGGAGGGGGGAGGGAGGTGGCTGGAGAGGTGACACTTTGAGGGGCATCTGGAATCAGGATGAATCTCAGCATTGTGGTCCCTGAGCTTGGCTGAGCGCAGGCCCAGAGCCCGAGTGGGGCGGGAGCGGAAGAATTTATCCTGGAGCTCTGAGCGTCCTGGAGGAGCTTGCAGTCAGGAACGGGCTGGCAGGAGAGACTGAAGTGACGTGTGTTTGATCAGAGGAGAAAATGCTGCTCCTGGCTGTGGACAGGGCGCTCCAAAGACCTAGGGGACCAGTGCAGAGCACCCTGTTGGGAGGGGCTCATGTGATGGGGTTGGGGATGTACTGGGAGGGATGTGGAGTCAAAGGGGACAGGGGAGTGAGGGAGTGGTGGCAAGCCAGGAAGGGTGGGGAGCAGGGGAGGGAGTAATGGGGTCAGCGCTGGACGCCTTGGAACTTGAGATGGGATGGAAGGGGTGGGGCAGGAAGTCCAGGAGCCGGCTGGGGAGGTGGTCCAGGAGGGGAAGAGGATCCTGAAGGAGGAGGTGGAGGGAGGACTTGGGTGACAGGTAGGTGTGGGGACTGAGAGGCAGGAGGACCCTGGAACCGTCCTGGTGGGCAAGTGTTGGGACTCAAAGAGCCAAGGGAGACCCTGCTGAGAAGAGACTGCTGCCTGCTGGAGGGGGGAAGGTGGGAAGGGGGTGGGAGCGGGGGGCTCAGCTTGCTCCTACCCTGACTGTCCTCCCTCCATACCAGCCCTGATGGAGCCCAGTCCTCCCTCACCCCTCCCACGATTAGAACTAGTAGTGTTGGCTGCAGGGCACAGACAGGGAGGATCTCCCGACGCCCCCGCACCTCACTGACCAGACATTAAGAAGAAATATCAGCAATGACATAGCTTTATTTGCAGCTTAAAGATGGGGCGGGGTTTGGGGTGGTGGGGCCCGGAAGACGAGAGAATTGGGGGTGATGGCACTGATACTGATCCCTCGGAGAAGCCGCCCTCGGGCCGTTAGATTTTGCCAGCGAAAGTCCCGTCCTTGATCTCGGTCTAGCGCTGCACCTGGGGTTTGGGGGGGGGTAGGAGGGAGGAAGGTGGGGAGCGGGCGCTTGCTCAACTCAGCCGGCCCATCCACCCTCGCCCGGCCTGTCTGTGCGCTGCCCCTCTGTCCGCTCACCCAGCTCATGGGGCACAGCGCGTGGAACACGCGGAAGTAATACTCGCAGGGCTGTGTGCTTTTCCCGCGGCGCCTCATCCTCTTGACGCAGGGATGGTAGTCTGCCGAGTGGGGGGTGGGGAGGAGCGGGCAGGTGGGCGGGGTCGCAAGCACGCCCCGCCCCCTCCACGCCAAGGCCGCGCCCTCCAGAAAGGCCCAGCCGCAGACCCGCCTCCTCCCCGCAAGGCCTCGCCCATTCTGTCACCCCACCCTTCCCTGACTTGATCGCACGCCTCCAGAATAGGCCCCGACCTTCCAACTGATCGGTCCCGCCCCTATCATACAAGGCCCCTCCCCTCCCAGGTAGGCCCCGCCCCTTAAGCCCGTGGTCCGCTCCACCTCCCACCCCAACGGTCTCCGCCCCCGCGGCGAGTCCGGGACCCTCTCCTCGTCCTCAGGTGGGGCGCGCCCCTTCCTGCCTCCCACCTTCTCTCACCCGCTCCCCCTAACTTGGCCCGCGAGGTTTTATCCAGCAAGTTCTGGTAACAGTTACGGGTCTGGTTCTGCTTGGTGAAGCGCGGGTCGAAGGGTGCCGTTGGCCATCTGCCCTTTCAGGGCTTTGGGCAATCAATACCCAACATCCACGAAGGCGGCGTCCCCTGCGGGGAGGGATGGGGTTCTATGGGGCCTATGGGGCGCCCCTCGCTCCGACCCGCACTCAGCTCCTGACCCCCACCACAAAACCCAGCCCCCGTTCCCACCCGTCCTGCCCTCACCAGGCTGATGTCAGCGGGTCACTGGCTCAGTTGTGCTTGTAGCTCCGTCCGGGGACCCCCTCGCTTCTGAGTCTCGAGGGTCCCAGCCCAGGAAAAACACGACCCTCCCGGTCGGATTGGCTGGGACCCCCGGAGCCCCAGCCAATGGACGCCGTTGCGCCGTTGCGTTGGGACGCGGGGCGGGGTCGGTGTGGACCCGCCTCCCCCGCCGCGACTCCCCCCTCCGGCCCGACACCCCC